TATATATATTTTGTACCAGTAGGGACCGGACGCCAAATAGGCCAGATGTCCGCGTAAACACAATGGATCAAACACGCTACCCTTCTGCCACCATCACGAAGGGTCGGGCGCGGTAAGCCGGACGTTCGTACGTCCACAATCACACCCATACGTCCACAACCACGCAACCTTGCCACTTGTCATTCGGATGAGCAGTAGCTCGCTCGTAGCTCAAAGGAACTGTGAAAATTCTTCTTGGATAAGAGTTTTGTAATTGGAAAGAATGTCTACTATCATATTTGTAATTATATATATATATATATATATATATATATATATATATAATATTTAGACGGATAGAAACAATAAAGACAGATTGAAATATATATATATTCATTCGTATTCTTTGCTTGGAGAAAATGTACATAAGCTGAAAGACTTGGTGGTGACTCTTTTTTTTCGATAATAAATTAGTATAATTGGGAACACTTTAAAGTGTTCCAGTCCTTTTACATAATAACTCTAGAAAAGTTCACCGTAAAGAAAATGAAATTAAAAATATAAAGCTACATAATAAGTAAAACAATAATAAAATCTGAGCATAACTTACAGTTTCATCCTCGTTCTTGTCCAGCGCAATCATTTATTATTAAAATATTTAAGTTTCACTATTTTTAAATTATTATCCCTTCTAAAATACCATTTTACATATGTTATAGTAAATTTTACATAATAATAAATAACTTAATTTTTTAAATATTAAAATACATATTAATATTTATTTAAATTAATATTTTAATTATTAGGGTGAGATAAATATTTTCAAAATATAAATAATATGTTAATTATTTATAGATAACCATATTTATGATGGCCATATTATTTTATAAGTTGATGTTTAAACTGCACGTGCATCAAAAAATTAAATTGAGATTACATTTTTTAAAAATATTTTATACTTTTATACAATTAAAAAATATAAATAAAATAGTTATTTCATTGAGTAGCCACAAATATTTTTCGAAAATGTTGTGGGTATGAATCGATGTTCTGCATCATCTATATCGTTGTAAAAAAAAATTATGAGAATTAAATAAATATAATTAATTTCCACGTGCTTGAAAATTTTCATTCCAACACAATCACTTCAATATATTAGGTAGCATTTTGATAATATAATTTCCCTTCACGGCAGCCAACAAAGTCCAGTAGGAAAGATAGATAAAGTTCAGTCAAGCAACTAAAGGACTATTTTCTTCAAAACTATTCCCAATAAAATAAAGCTACCTAAGCAAACTACACCCACGAACAACCATTTTCTCGACGCAATGTTCTACAAGAAACTGCAATTTAGATGCGACAAATATATGTGCATGTGATTCAATCTAAGTAATGGACAGCTAATTTAGACAGTGTTTATGTTTAGTATGGGTCCGAGATCTCTGCTCCACGTGCTTCCTCTCCTCCAGTGTACGACTAAGGGTTCAAATCTCTTCCTCCGATCGGTTCAGCAAGGTGTGACCTACAAGAAAACACTCCGACGTTCAAGTGAGTGAGGTGTTCTCTAAGGTCTTAAATTATCTCAGAAAAATCAATCTTTACCTAGTCATTAGTTTTGTATTTATAGGCTTTGTAATTGTCCAGCCCATCGAACGTCATTGAATGACATTTAATGCAATATATTTTGTGCCTAGTCACTCGCTAATTTCCTTATATCTAGCATAATCGGCCTCATATCCGTTGTTGATTAGCCATAAATGCCTTTCGCGTGATGTAAGAATTACTCACCTTTATTACCCATTAATGTTATTAATTTCCCGTTGAGCGTGTTGGCCGCCTTTGGTCGATCGTCTGTACCTTATAGTACCAATCGTCCACACCATATAGTACACAAGTCCCCCAAGCCCGAACGACTTTTAAGGCGTGAAGGGTTTGAAATGCTAAGTCTTTGGAAAGAGCGAGAAAGGGGTCAATAGTGGTTGTCGTGCCCGTTGATTGTGGGGCACGTGTGATTGTGGGATTCGTGCCATTTCAAATATGAAGGGCCACGCACCCCTGACCGTTTGATTTCACCATGACGGAGGACCATGATTAACTCTTGGAAATGCCCTATCACACTATAAAAGGTGATCAACATCACCATGATTGCTTCGTCTTCCTATTTTCTTCACCGCTTGGTCCCCAAGATAACTCCTCTCAGGTAATCATGTCTTCTTCACCCTTGTTGTCTGATGAAGTCGCCGGCGAAGGTCAGGGGTACACTGATGGCGGAAAAGAGCCCCCTGCCTCCGTAGGGTCCTCCATCTTAGATTCTACCAGGTCTGGTGATCGGGAAGTTGAAGAGGCAAATATCGTGCTTGAGATCGACGCTGCTAGGGAATGGACAGATTCTGCTCCTCCTCCCCCTGTCAATGGATATGGATGGGCTCCTTATGAGGTAGGCCTATATGCGCCCTACTATGTTACCAGTACTTCATTAGAGTATTTAGCTAGTAGGGTTGGCATTATATCTACTGCAAAAGATGCCGATAATATCCTGTTGACAGTGTGCCGATCGAATGAGCGTGCTTGCCATGGGCGAGAAGGGCATAATACTGACTTTTTTTATGTGTATAGTACTTTGTTCCGCGATCTGGGTGTTCGCTTACCATTCACTGACTTTCAATCGAATGTGTTACGTGATTTGAATGTAGCCCCGACACAACTACACTCGAACGGGTGGGGGTACATGCAAGCCATCGTCGTTGTTTGTACTACACTTGCTTTGACACCCAGGTCCATAGCATTCTTGCATTTCTTTCATGCTATCTCGCAGGCGAATAAATCATGGGTTTCTTTGACTCTTGTGAAGGGCAAACAATTGTTTACACTGTTCAATTCTTCCTATAAGGAGTTCAAGACCAGATTTTTCAACATATCAATAAAAAAGGAAGGTCGGCAGTTTTTATCTATATGAAGGGCAACCAAAATTTCCCTTCTATTGGACCGAGCATCCCAAAAAGGTTGTTTCTCAAGCGAAGTCTTCCATGACCCCTGAAGAGTTGGAGATTGTCAGCCTTATAAATCAGCTACCCCAAAAGACCTCGTCACGAGCTCTCATCGGGCTTTTGGGTTCCCACTCTCTATGTTCTAGAGTGTTCGATAAGGTTTTATAATTCTCCGTTATAACTATCATTTGTAACTTATGAAATTTTTTGGACGTTTCAGATATCT